GATAGATAGATAGATAGATAGATGATAGATAGATAGAGAGAGATAGAGATAGAGATAGATAGATAGATAGATAGATAGATAGATAGATAGATAGATAGATAGATAGATAGATAGATGATTGATAGATAGATAGATAGATAGATGATAGATAGATCGAGAGAGATAGAGATAGAGATAGATAGATAGATAGATAGATAGATAGATAGATAGATAGATAGATAGATAGATAGATAGATGATTGATAGATAGATAGATAGATAGATGATAGATAGATAGATAGATAGATAGATAGATAGATAGATAGATAGATAGATAGATTGATAGATTGATAGATAGAGAGATAGAGATAGATAGATAGATAGAGAGAGAGAGAGAGAGAGAGAGAGACATAGATAGAGACAGACAGACAGCATGTGTACGTGTTATGTATGTGTATGAGTAGATACACATTTCCTTTTGAGAGCAGGCAACAGAATTTCATTTTTAATGTGGGCCAGGGTCCTCACAGTAATAAATCACAATAAAGGTTATCTTACCTTATCTTATTTTCTTAACTGAGGTCTCTAAAAACCGAGGTCTCTAAAACTGAGGTCTCACTGTCAGGAAGTTTCTCCTTAGTTCCAGGTTGCTTCTCTCCTTGGTTAGTTTCCATCCGTTGCTTCTTGTCCTGCCTCCAGGCGCTTTGGAGAACAGCTTGACTCCCTCTTCTTTGGGGCAGCCCCTGAGATATTGGAGCACTGCTATCATGTCACCCACCCAGATTGACCCCTGTGCCCTTTCTCCCCTCCCCCCCCCAGGAAGACATGGAAAGGACCCAGATAAACATCCTGGCTGTTCAGGCGATCACTTCCTTGGTGCTGAGCGCAATGACCATCCCGCTGGCCGGCAATCCGGCCGTCAGCTGTTTGGAGCAGCAGCCTCGGAACAAGACCTTGAAAGCTCTGGACACCAGGTATGTCCCAAGAGGCAGCTTTCTCTTTCCTTTATCCCCAACTGTGCCTCGATTAGGGGGAGGCAACCTGTAGCCGCCTTGGGTCCGTGGTGGAAGCGTCATTTGCGAGCCGCCTGGTGCGCTCACGGAAGTGTCAAAAAAAGAAGAGGCGAGAGAAACGTCCCGGAGAAGACGCCGAGTTCCCAGGGGCATCTGGTCTAGGCGGAGGGACCTCAACCGTTGACACACCCTGGTGGTCCCAGCAAGAGATTGAGAAGGATTAAAAGCAGTTTTCTTCCTTTGTCTTCTCTCTCTCTCTCACACACACACACTCTCTTTCTCCTCTCTCCGTCTCTCTCTCTCTCTCTCTTTTCTCTCTTTTTCTTTCTCTTCTCTTTCCATCTCTCTCTCTTTCTGTCTTTTTCTTTCTCCCTCTCCCTTTCTATCTCTTTCCTTTTCTCTCTTTTTCTTTCTCTTCTCTTTTCTTATCTCCCTTTCTCTCTCTTTGTCTCTCTCTTCATCTCTTCCTTTTTCTCTCTCTTCCTCTCTCTTTCTCTCTCCTTTTCCCTTTCTCTTTCTCTCTCCTCTCTCTTCATCTTTCCCTCCCTTTCCCCCTCTCTCTTTCTGTCTTTCTCTCCCTCTTTCTTTCTTTCTTTCTCCCTCCTCTCTTTCTCTCTCTCTCTCTCTCCCCCTTTTTATCTCTTTCCTTCTCTCTCTTTCCTTTTCTCTCTTTTTCTTTCTCTTCTCTTTCCGTCTCTCTCTCTCTGTGTTTCTGTCTTTTTCTTTCTCCCTCTCCCTTTCTATCTCTTTCCTTTTCTCTCTTTTTCTTTCTCCCTCTCCCTTTCTATCTCTTTCCTTTTCTCTCTTTTTCTTTCTCTTCTCTTTTCTTATCTCCCTTTCTCTCTCTTCGTCTCTCTCTTTCTTTTTCTCTCTCTTCCTCTCTCTTTCTCTCTCCTTTTCCCTTTCTCTTTCTCCTCTCTCTTCATCTTTCCCTCCCTTTCCCTCTCTCTCTCTTTCTGTCTTTCTCTACCTCTTTCTTTCTTTCTCCTCTCTTTTCTCTCTCTCTCTCTGCCCCCCTTTTTATCTCTTTCCTTCTCTCTTTTTCTTTCTCTTCTCTTTCCATCTCTCTCTCTCTTTCTGTCTTTTTCTTTCTCCCTCTCCCTTTCTATCTTTCCTTTTCTCTCTTTTTCTTTCTCTTCTCTTTCCTTATCTCCCTTTCTCTCCTCTCTCTTTCTTTTTCTCTCTCTTTCTCTCTCCTTTTCCCTTTCACTTTCTCCTCTATCTTCATCTTTCCCTCCCTTTCCCTCTCTCTCTCTCTTTCTGTCTTTCTCTCCCTCTTTCTTTCTCTCTCCTCTCTCTCTCTCTCTCTCAAAAAAAGTCACAACTCACTTTTTTCAGTGCCGTCTGTTGTAACTTCGAACAGTCACTAAACAAAACATTGCAAGTCGCGGACGACCCACAACTCTAAGCCAACAGGGCTAACCCTTCTAAGTAGCCCGTTTCAGTTTTAAATGTCTATTCCACGTGCTTTGGGGGGGGGGGAAGGAACGCTCGTTTTAAAATACGTCGCCGATTTGACGATATCAGATGATTTTTCAAGAACGCCTTTCTGCTGAATGTCAGGTTTGGGAGAAAACTGAACATTATCCGAGGAACCATCGAGCAAGAGATTCAGGAGCTGGCATCTAAGAGAGACAACGTTGCTTGCCACCATTTGTACCAGGTGTGGGACCCTGTTCCATCCCTGGCCCCCTCTACTACAGGTAAGCGGTGATGTAGTATCTTGATTATCAATGCACTACGTGCACAGAGAGATGCCACGAGGTTAGTTGTGTTTGCATTTGGGAATTGGATCCACGTCTCACTCAGCGTTAAAAGCTCAAGGCTGATTCTGCACTTTTTAAATCAGGGACACGTCTCTTCGGTGTGGACAACATCGGTCGTCCTCGACGTACGACCACAATTGAGCCCAGCATTTCTGTTGTTAAGTGAGACATTGGTTAAGCGAGTTTCGCCCCATTTTACGACCTTTCTTGCCACTGTTGTTAAGTGAATCAACTAATAGTCAGTAGCCCGGTTGTTAAGTGAATCTGGTTCCCCCCCCCTTGACTTTTTTCAAAATCAAAAGGGGATCACATGACCCCGGGACACGGCAACCATCATAAGTATGAACCAGTTGCTAAACGTCTGAATTTTGATCACATGATCCTAGGGAATGCTGCAATGGTCGTAAGTTCGAAAAATGATCGTACATCGCTTTTTTCAGGGCCATTGTAACTTTGAACGGTCACTAAATGAATTGATGTAAGTCAAGGACCACCTGTAGTTATAGAAGGAAGAGTTCTATTTCTTATTATCAGAAAGCAGGACATATTTAGACACAACGGCACACATTAAAAATGAAATTTAGTTGCTTGCTCTCAAAGTGTACGCATAGATAACACACATTTAAACACACTATATACAACAGAAGTATAGACCTACACCCTTACATATAAGTAACATATAAATATTCATCCCTGTCCATCTTGAATACATAATGGAAGGAGGAAGCTTGAGAGTTCACAAGGTTAATACTGTATGGAACAAAACTGACTGAATCTGGATGTTCTGCTTCGGATCCCACCGAGCCCCCTCCTCCCAGAAGGTAACAAGGAAAACAGGTTGTGAAGAGGATGTGTAGCGTCCCAGTCAATCTTACGGACCCTGCTCGACACTTCTGTGCTATGCCCTGGATGGGAGGGAGGGAACTGCCAATGATCTTTTCAGCCATCCTCACCACTCTCTGCACTGCCTTCCTGTCTGAAGCAGTGATGCTTCTAAACAGACTGTGATGCTGTATGACAGAATGCTCTCGATCGTCCCTCTGTAGAAAGTGGTGAGGACGGGAAGGAAGCAAAATGACGGTGGGAGGTCGGTTCTCCGAGCTTGTGGGTTGGCTTCTGAACGTTTCGTTACCAGGCTTTGTAACATCTTCAGCGGAGTTAGCGGATGTCAGTGTCGGTGTTCTTTGTGTGGTCATTAGATCTTGTGATGGGAGGGTCACAACAGGTGATGGGTCAGGTCCATTCTCGATTCAGTTTGTATAGGAATTCCTCACCATTTTCAGTTTTGGCCGGCACCGAAAGCTTAGACACGAACGGAGGGTTAAGAAACGAATACATTTCAACTTCATCCTTGATCGGATTGTTCTTGGCTGTCCTAATCTTTGCTTTAGAATTGATCCGTCTGTTCATTGAATACCCCAGACATAATCTAAGTCAGGGGTCCTCAACCTCCGGTCCGTGGACCGGTACCGGGCTGCAGCATGCCAGCAACCGGGCCACACAAGCAAAGCCCCATCCGCGAGATGCAGGCAGCACACAAAACCGCGCACCCTCCGGTCTGCGGAAAAACCTCTCTCCGCGGAACCGGTCCCTGGTGCCCAAAAGGTTGGGGACCTCTGATCTAAGTAGTTTACTTTCCTCTTACATAAATATTTTTTTTAAAAATCTGTGCTGGTCCGGTTGAAAAATATAATCATCTACTAGTAAGGATTTCTTTGCATCGGCGGGGGAGGCAATAAAATAAAGAATAGTTAAGCCGTTGCTCTTATTTTCTACTGAAATAGAGTGGTTTTATAAAAAAGACAATTGCTCCGTCTCACGGTCTCGCAACTTCCTCCTGCAGGCCAAGCCATCCTCAGATCAGAGACTTTGAGATCTGTGGGGTTTCACCCTCTTCGGCTCCTGGAGGGGGGAGGTCTCCGTCTTAACAGAGAAATAATTGAATCTCCGGCGATCGTAACGATTGTTTCTTCTTTTTATTTCAGGCGCCCTCATTAGCCACGAAAAGCTGCTGCTGCAAATCAATACGGAACGTGAAATGGGGAACATGGGGTACAAACTAGGACAGGTATGTTCAAATGCGCCACGCCCGTTGAGCCGAAAAGAAAACGGAGTCATTTTAGTATTCCCTAAAATACAGGTAGTCCTCGACTTAGCAGCCGTTCGTTTAGTGACCGTTTTTCCACACTTAACAAGTGTGGCAGCATCTCTGTGGTCAGGCGATCAAAATTCAGATGCTTAGCAACTGATTCACTTTACAGCTGTGGGGAGAAAGGTCGTAAAACGGGGCAAAACTCGCTGAACAAATGTCTCTCTCTTAGCAACATAAATTTCGGGCTCAACTGCGGTCGTAAGTCGAGGACTGCCTATAATGACGCTTTGGATGTATGAATTCCTTTTCTGTGCATTAATTCGTGCTTGGTGTTTTATTACATTGAGGTGCGCCTTTAAGGGGCTTAAGAATTGTTACCGATCTTTTGTCAACACTGCTAACATCGGATGTTTTTGCTTGGACAACAGTTGGAGATGCAACCCTTTTCTTCTTATGTTTTACTCTTAGAGTTAGAGCTAGAGTTAGATGACGCTGGGGGGAAGAACGTGCATGAGAGTTTAGCTAGACATAACAATACTGGACCTAGTGTGAGAACCAAGGTTATTGAAAGAAGAGATGATAAGAATTGGCAGGGCTGGAGAAATGGAGGGGAAGCCTGCATTTCAAACTAATTGGAGAACGTGATTTATGACTGCTAATTGGGGGAGGGAATTGTGCTTTGATACTATGTGCTCAGGGGAGGGGAACTCAGTTTTTGGCTTCGACTGTGTTAGTGCCGACGCTATGCTTCTCAAATAAAGATTCTTTAAGGTAAACAATGCCTCAAAGTTCTTTTGAAGAGTTTCATCTGTCGGAACCATGACATTTTTATTTTTACTTGATTTATTTTTTTGGCTCGAAGGTCTCCATCCATTCTGTGTGGCTGGGAAATAGCATCACGCCGTTGCGGGAGGAAGAGTGGGGTGACGATGAAGATGACGAGAGCGACCTGCCTGCCCTCTCTTCGCCCCCCTCCTCCCCCATAAATTCCAGGTATTTCCCTTTTGTTTATTTTTGTCCCGGCGGGCGCCCGCTCAGGAGTTCCCGTTCAGAGTAACCTTGACGCTTTCTGATCTGGGATGAAATTTCTGTTATCTTAATTAGTCCACACAGGTAGTCCTCGATTTACGACAGTTGCTTTAGTGAATGTTCAAAGTTACAGCCCCACTGAAACAAGTGACTTACGACCGTTTTTCATACTTAAACGACCATTGCAGCATCCCCATGGTCATGTGATCAAAATTAGCAACTGCCTCATAGTTATGGCGGTTGCAGTGTCCCGGGGGTGTGTGTGTCACAGGATCCCCTTTTGCAATCTTCTGACAAGCACAGTCAATGGGGAAGCCAGTTTCACCTAATAACTGCTTTTAATTTGTGAGGCCCTTAACGACTGTGCCAAGAAAAGTTGTAAAATGGGGCAAAATTCGCTTAGCAACAGAAATTTGGGGCTCAATTGTGGTTGTAGGTCAAGGACTGCCTCAGACACATCAACCTACCACCAGCCGACGAACCCCTCAGAATTTTAACCAACCACACAGCCAACCAGCAACAGCACCAACCCTCAACCATCCCGCGCAATCCCCCACAACCAGCACTTCTCCCAATGACCCTCCCCTGACGTGACCTCCCCATCACAAGACCTATCAGAAGACCCTCACCTGACATAACNAGAGAGAGAGAGAGAGAGAGAGAGAGAGAGAGAGAGAGAGAGAGAGAGAGACATAGATACAGACAGACAGCATGTGTACGTGTTATGTATGTGTATGAGTAGATACACATTTCCTTTTGAGAGCAGGCAACAGAATTTCATTTTTAATGTGGGCCAGGGTCCTCACAGTAATAAATCACAATAAAGGTTATCTTACCTTATCTTATTTTCTTAACTGAGGTCTCTAAAAACCGAGGTCTCTAAAACTGAGGTCTCACTGTCAGGAAGTTTCTCCTTAGTTCCAGGTTGCTTCTCTCCTTGGTTAGTTTCCATCTGTTGCTTCTCGTCCTGCCTTCAGGCGCTTTGGAGAACAGCTTGACTCCCTCTTCTTTGGGGCAACCCTTGAGATACTGGAAGACTGCTATCATGCCACCCGCCCAGATTGACACCTGTGCCCTTTCTCCCCCCCCCCCCTGCAGGAAGACATGGAAAGGACCCAGATAAACGTCCTGGCTGTTCAGGCGATCACTTCCTTGGTGCTGAGCGCAATGACCATCCCGCTGGCCGGCAATCCGGCCGTCAGCTGTTTGGAGCAGCAGCCTCGAAACAAGACCTTGAAAGCTCTGGACACCAGGTATGTCCCAAGAGGCAGCTTTCTCTTTCCTTTATCCCCAACTGTGCCTCGATTAGGGGGAGGCAACCTGTAGCCGCCTTGGTTCCGTGGTGGAAGCGTCATTTGCGAGCCACCTGGTGCGTTCACGGAAGTGTCAAAAAAAAAGAAGAGGCGAGAGAAACGTCCCGGAGAAGACGCCGAGACCTCAACCGTTGACACACCCTGGTGGTCCCAGCAAGAGATTGAGAAGGATTAAAAGCAGTTTTCTTCCTTTGTCTTCTCTCTCACACACACACGCACACTCTTTCTCCTCTCTCCGTCTCTCTTTCTTTTTCTCTCCCCCTTTTTATCTCTTTCCTTCTCTCTCTTTCCTTTTCTCTCTTTTTCTTTCTCTTCTCTTTCCGTCTCTCTCTCTCTCTCTGTGTTTGTTTCTTCCTCTCTCTTTCCTTATCTCTCTCTCCCTTTCTCTCTTTTTCTTTCTCTTCTCTTTCCTTATCTCCCTTTCTCTCTCTTCGTCTCTCTCTTTCTTTTTCTCTCTCTTCCTCTCTCTTTCTCTCTCCTCTCTCTTCATCTTTCCCTCCCTTTCCCTCTCTCTCTCTCTTTCTGTCTTTCTCTCCCTCTTTCTTTCTCTCTCCTTCTCTCTTTCTCTCTCTCTCTCTCTCTCCCTTTTTATCTCTTTCCTTCTCTCTCTATCCTTTTCTCTCTTTTTCTTTCTCTTCTCTTTCCGACTCTCTCTCTCTCTCTCTCTTTCTGTCTTTTTCTTTCTCCCTCTCCCTTTCTATCTCTTTCCTTTTCTCTTTTTCTTTCTCTTCTCTTTCCTTATCTCCCTTTCTCTCTCTTTGTCTCTCTCTTCATCTCTCTTTCTTTTTCTCTCTCTTCCTCTCTCTTTCTCTCTCCTTTTCCCTTTCTCTTTCTCTCTCCTCTCTTCATCTTTCCCTCCCTCTCTCTCTCTCTCTCTCTTTCTGTCTTTCTCTCCCTCTTTCTTTCTCTCTCCTCTCTTTCTCTCTCTCTCCCTTCTCTCTCCTCTCTCTCTCTCTCTCTCAAAAAAAAAGTCACAACTCACTTTTTTCAATGCCGTCTTTTGTAACTTCGAACAGTCACTAAATAAAACATTGCAAGCCGTGGACGACCCACAACTCAGAGCCAACAGAGTTAACCCTTCTAAGGAGCCCGTTTCAGTTTTAAATGTCTATTTCACATGCTTTGAGGGAGGGGGGAAAGGAATGCTCGTTTTAAAATACGTCGCCGATTTGACGATATCAGATGATTTTTCAAGAACGCCTTCTTTCTGCTGAATGTCAGGTTTGGGAGAAAACTGAACATTATCCGAGGAACCATCGAGCAAGAGATTCAGGAGCTGGCATCTAAGAGAGACAACGTTGCTTGCCACCATTTGTACCAGGTGTGGGACCCTGTTCCATCCCTGGCCCCCTCTACTACAGGTAAGCGGTGATGTAGTATCTTGACTATCAATGCACAGAGAGATGCCACGAGGCATTTGGGAATTGGATCCACGTCTCACTCAACGTTAAAAGCTCAAGGCTGATTCTGCACTTTTTTAATCAGGGACACGTCTCTTCGGTGTGGACAAGATCGGTCATCCTCGACTTACGACCACAATTGAGCCCAGCATTTCTGTTGTTAAGTGAGACATTGGTTAAGCGAGTTTCGCCCCATTTTACGACCTTTCTTGCCACTGTTGTTAAGTGAATCAACTAATAGTCAGTAGCCCGGTTGTTAAGTGAGTCTGGTTTCCCCCCACCCCTTGACTTTTTTCAAAGTCAAAAGGGGATCACATGACCCCGGGACACGGCAACCATCATAAGTATGAACCAGTTGCTAAACGTCTGAATTTTGATCACATGATCCTGGGGAATGCTGCAATGGTCATAAGTTCGAAAAATGATCGTACGTCGCTTTTTTCAGGGCCATTGTAACTTTGAACGGTCACTAAATGAATTGATGTAAGTCAAGGACCACCTGTAGTTATAGAAGGAAGAGTTCTATTTCTTATTATCAGAAAGCAGGACATATTTAGACACAACGGCACCCATTAAAAATGAAATTTAGTTGCTTGCTCTCAAAGTGTACGCATAGATAACACACATTTAAACATACTATATACAACATATGTATAGACCTACACCCTTACATATAAATATTCATCCCTGTCCATCTTGAATACATAACGGAAGGAGGAAGCTTGAGAGTTCACTAGGTTAATGCTGCACGGAACAAAACTGTGACTGAATCTGGATGTTCTGCTTCGGATACCACGAAGCCCCCTCCCCTCCCAGAAGGTAACAAGGAAAACAGGTTGTGAAGAGGATGTATGGTATCCCAGACAATCCTGCGGACCCTGCTCAAGCAAAGCTTATATGCCATGTCCTGGATAGAAGGGAGGGAACTGCCAATGATCTTTTCAGCCATCCTCACTATTCTCTGAACTGCCAATAATCTTTTCTGCTGTCCTCACCACTCTCTGCACCGCCTTCCTGTCTGAAGCAGTGATGCTTCCAAACCAGACTGTGATGCTATGACAGGATGCTCTCGATCGTCCCCCTGTAGAAAGTGGTCAGGACAGGGGAAGGAAGCAAAATGACGGTGGGAGGTCGGTTGTCTGAGGTTGTGGGTTGGCTTCTGAACGTTTCGTTACCAGGCTTTGTAACATCTTCAGCGGAGTTAGCGGATGTCAGTGTCGGTGTTCTTTGTGTGGTCATTAGATCTTGTGATGGGAGGGTCACAACAGGTGATGGGTCAGGTCCATTCTCGATCCAGTTTGTATAGGAATTCCTCACCATTTTCAGTTTTGGCCGGCACCGAAAGCTTAGACACGAACGGAGGGTTAAGAAACGAATACATTTCAACTTCATCCTTGATCGGATTATTCTTGGCTGTCCTAATCTTTGCTTTAGAATTGATCAATCTGTTCATCGAATACCCCAGACATAATCTAAGTCAGGGGTCCCCAACCTCCGGTCCGTGGACCGGTACCGGGCTGCAGCATGCCAGCAACCGGGCCACACAAACAAGCAAAGCCCCATCTGCGAAATGCAGGCAGCACACAAAACCGCGCACCCTCCGGTCTGCGGGAAAACCTCTCTCCGCGGAACCGGTCCCTGGTGCCCAAAAGGTTGAGGACCTCTGATCTAAGTAGTTTACTTTCCTCTTACATAAATATATTTTTTAAAAAATCTGTGCTGGTCCCGTTGCAAAATATAATCACGTACTAGTAAGGATTTCTTTGCATCGGCGGGGGAGGCAATAAAATAAAGAATAGTGAAGCCGTTGCTCTTATTTTCTACTGAAATAGAGTGGTTTTATAAAAAAGACAATTGTCCCGTCTCACGGTCTCGCAACTTCCTCACGGTCTCGCCAAGCCGTCCTCAGATCAGAGACTTTGAGATCTGTGGGGTTTCGCCCTCGTCGGCTCCTGGAGGGGGGAGGTCTCCGTCTTAACAGAGAAATGATTGAAACTCCGGCGATCGTAACGATTGTTTCTTCTTTTTATTTCAGGCGCCCTCATTAGCCACGAAAAACTGCTGCTGCAAATCAATACGGAACGTGAAATGGGGAACATGGGGTACAAACTAGGACAGGTATGTTCCAATGCGCCACGCCCGTTCAACCGAAAAGAAAACGGAGCCATTTTAGTATTCCCTAAAATACAGGTAGTCCTCGACTTAGCAGCCGTTCGTTTAGTGACCGTTTTTCCACACTTACAACTGTGGCAGCATCTCTGTGGTCAGACGATCAAAATTCAGATGCTTAGCAACTGATTCACTTAACAACTGTGGCGAGAAAGGTCGTAAAACGGGGCAAAACTCGCTGAACAAATGTCTCTCTCTTAGCAACATAAATTTCGGGCTCAACTGCAGTTGTAAGTCGGGGACTGCCTATAATGACGCTTTGGATGTATGAATTCCTTTTCTGTGCATTAATTCGTGCTTGGTGTTTTATTACATTGAGGTGCGCCTTTAAGGGGCTTAAGAATTGTTACCGATCTTTTGTCAACACTGCTAACATCGGATGTTTTTGCTTGGACAACAGTTGGAGATGCAACCCTTTTCTTCTTATGTTTTACTCTTAGAGTTAGAGCTAGAGTTAGATGACGCTGGGGGGAGGAACGTGCATGAGAGTTTAACTAGACATAACAATACTGGACCTAGTGTGAGAACCAAGGTTATTGAAAGAAGAGATGATAAGAATTAGCAGGGCTGGCGAACTGGAGGGAAAGCCTGCATTTCAAACTAATTGGAGAACGTGATTTATGACTGTTAATTGGAGGAGGGAATTGTGCTTTGATACTACGTGCTCAAGGGGAGGGGAACTCAGTTTTTGGCTTCGACTGTGTTAGTGCCGACGCCATGCTTCTTGAATAAAGATTCTTTAAGGTAAACAATGCCTCGAAGTTCTTTTGAAGAGTTTCATCTGTCGGAACCATGACATTTTTATTTTTACTTGATTTATTTTATTTTTTTTGCTCGAAGGTCTCCATCCATTCTGTGTGGCTGGGAAATAGCATCACGCCGTTGCGGGAGGAAGAGTGGGGTGACGATGAAGATGACGAGAGTGACCTGCCTGCCCTTTCTTCGCCCCCCTCCTCCCCCATAAATTCCAGGTATTTCCCTTTTGTTTATTTTTGTCTCGGCGGGCCCCCGGCTCAGGAGTTCCCATTCAGAGTAACCTTGACGCTTTCTGATATGAGATGAATTTTCTGTTATCTTAATCCATACAGGGAGTCCTCGATTTACGACAGTTGCTTTAGTGAACGTTCAAAGTTACAGCCCCACTGAAACAAGTGACTTACGACCGTTTTTCACACTTAAACGACCATTGCAGCATCCCCATGGTCACGTGATCAAAATTAGCAACTGCCTCATAGTTATGGCGGTTGCAGTGTCCCGGGGGTGTGTGTGTCACAGGATCCCCTTTTGCAATCTTCCGACAAGCACAGTCAATGGGGAAGCCAATTTCACCTAATAACTGCTTTTAATTTGTGAGGCCCTTAACGACTGTGGCAAGAAAAGTTGTAAAATGGGGCAAAATTCACTTAACAACTGTCTGGCTCAGCAACAGAAATGTGGGGCTCAATTGTTGTAGGTCGAGGACTGCCTCAGACACATCAACCTACCACCAGCCGACGAACCCCTCAGAATTTTAACCAACCACACAGCCAACCAGCAACAGCACCAACCCTCAACCATCCCGCGCAATCCCCCACAACCAGCACTTCTCCCAATGACCCTCCCCTGACGTGACCTCCCCATCACAAGACCTATCAGAAGACCCTCACCTGACATAAC